CTGTTCCCCACAGTTCTAGTAGGGAGTGGATGGGAGGTTAATGCCAGAGTTAAAAGCCCTCCTTCTTCTCCCTCGGCACCGGGATGTAAACTAGTAATTTTATTATTGTATAATCCTCGGTTTATCAGGTTGCCGGTGGGCACGCATGTTGGTTGGTTGGTTATATAGTTGAGGCGTAGAACCTTTGGTCATCAACGCCGTTAATTAAAATTATGTATTATTATATCTTATGGTTGTGAAAAATAAAATTAAAAATACGTAAAAAGTAAATACGTAAGGTTAAAGTTATTCACGGTTATTAAAGTTCAGTTATTTAAAGGTTTAAAGTTAGCACGTTAAAAAAATAAAAGTAAACAAATAAAATAAACCAAGAAAGGATAAAAGGAAAAGGGGAAAAAAAAAGAAACGGAAAAAACATAGAGTTGGGTAGAGGTTCAAAGATTCCTTCTTCAGAGAGAAAACATATGATTTTGCTCAAGATTTTTTCATCATTTCGCAAAGCAGCCGATGTATTTGCTGGTATTCCTCTTTTGTTTAATTCTCTGATGTAAAATGCACAACCCTCGAAGATATGGACCACAGTCATTCTCTCTCCATACTTCTGACAAATGGGCTGGTTTTCTTTCGTAATTAAGTGAAGGTGCGTAAGCCTGGTATGACCTATTCTTAGTAGCGTAAGGACAACTTCTTCTCTGCGTTTACTGCGACTGAAACTGCTCCATGGCACGCATGTTTTTCACGCTTAAGCCTGATCGACCACTCCGCCCATAGCTGTGTTATTAAATTCCACCAGAATTGTTGAGTTTTCGCAATATTCAAAGAATTAACGTAGTACAGATCTGAAGTGGTTGGAGTTGATTCTCTCCCTCTCTATAAAAAAAATTTTTTTTGAAAGGGCCGAAAAATAAAATAATAATATTTAGCGAATATCAGAATCTAAGAAAAAAAAAAAAAATCAAACAATTGAATAGAGTTGGTAAAGTAAGGATTTTGTCCGTTTTTATTTACGCAAATTCTCGGAAGTTTTCAATTGAGAGATTGGCCAACTTTGTCAATTTAATAACAAACTACTAAAAACTCATGAACACCCATGTATTTTCCACTTGAATCGTAAGATAACTTGCCATAATATCCCACTTACAACATGTTAAAATAACAAGGTTATATAGACCAAACGTCCCAACATAAAGACCTAGTAGACCATCTTTTTTCTTGATCTTACGATTCAAGTAGAAAGCAAACAATAGACCGTGGTACAGACCTCTTTTTATTAAATTATTAACATTTACCTGAAACTTTGTAAAGAGCTTCATTTCATCGTAACCTACAACTATTTTATTTATGAAAACTCTGGGAATTGGAGCGTTTTCTATCTGGAATAATAATAGACATAACAAACTTTGTCTATTTAATTAGGTACTAAAAAATCGTATACAACCATTTGCTTTCCACTTGGATTGTAAGATGATTTGATCACTAAATCGAGAAAAAAGTAGCTTACAAAAATATTGGGCCGTTTGGCATATAAAACCTCGTTATTTTTACTTTTTGGGAGCCTGTCCTACAGTATCCTTCAACAATAGCCATCTTATCCCTGTTGAATAAATCCGATACTTGGGACTCAATCTTGACAAACGACTCACTTGGAATCCCCATACCAGACTGAAACGACTAGAAACCGCCCGACGTTTTCGACTACTGCAGCACTTACTAGACAAACGCTCTAAGCTTTCAATCAATTACAAACGACTCATATATATGACAATAATAAGACCTATTCGGACTTACGGAATTGAGCTTTGGGCTCCACTAAACCATCGAATTCCTCTCGTATCCAATCCTTACAATCCAAAATCCTTCGTAAAATCCTCAAAGCTTACTTTGTCACAAATAAAATCATCCATAAAGACCTTAATGTTCCATATGCTTCCAATTTGACCCAATCCAGATACCTATCCTTCCATAACAAACTGCAGAACCATCCGAATCCTCTCGTTTCAAACCTTGCTTCCTCTTCTATCCCTGATAACGCTCCGAGGCGTCTGAAAAGAAGATGGCCTCGGGACCTTCTAATATATAACTTCAATTTGAGTTCTACCAATGGGTAGTTTCTCTTCATGTTGTACATGTTACCAATGTCACAATTACTTGTTGTATTTTTCATGTAATACAGTTGTAAATTTCATTAAAATAAAAAAAATAAAAAATAAACTTTTTGGGAATGTAGTTCACGCCAAAGGCTATTTACGAAGTTTTATTAGAGTAATAACTCATTAAATTAACAATTTTAATGATTTTTGGATTGAAAACGCCCTATTTTTTCCCGAGAAGATTCGTAAAGAAACAACTTATTTTATAAGATAAAATTAAGCCGTAAAATTAAATAAACGAAGTTTTAGACTTGTTTTAATAATTTAATAGAAAGAGGTCTCTACTGTGGACTATTAAACTTTTCTTAAGACATTTTTTTAAGCTTGAAACTAGTCAATTTAATATAATATTTACCTGAGGTATAGTAAGACCAGTATGTAATCATTATATTAGAGACACTTAATACGGGTCTGATGTGGGATAGAGAGAAACTAAAATAAGACTCAATGTTTAATAATGGAAAAGGTTACGGCTCCGAGACATTTAAGGTTAATCAGAGCTTTCTTAAGTAGCCACTGGTGGAGGAGATGTTCTTAACTCGATTACTTTCCTTCGGGTTAGCTTTCCTCTCATTAAAATCTCAACCTATTACACAAAGTGCTTTAATTGTTTTATTTGATTTTGAGGAAGGATGTAGGACTAATTTGTCCTTTTTGGAGAAAGTATAATATGTAATTTAAAGAATGGTTATAGCACACATCTGAATCAATGAATATTCATAAAAAAAAAAAAAAAAACCATTTAGAGGAATATAATAATGAGATTATTATTAGAGAGGACTTCGCTAGATCTGAATTGAAAAAAAAAAATGGAGTGTCCACTCACACGACTTTCCTACCTAGAAAAGTTTTTATATCTTTACATATGTCCATCAAGAAACAAAATAAAATGAATTAGATTTATTTTCCTGAAAATTGATCAAAGAAAAGATTTGATATGATTTATTTGATAAACTAAAGCATTGTAAACCGGCTTAATTTTGTCAAACAACAATTTCTGTTAAAAGTAGAGGAAATAGTGAAGCTTTTGTGATGCAGGCAACAGATTTTCTTACTTTCACTAAGTTATCTTTTTTCTGTCATTCACCCCTTTCTGACACCAGAATATGTACCCGTAATCTTACATTGGAAATTGAATAGCGGTAACTTCGTTAATATTTGTCCGAAATGAACGATTTTTATACAGTTTTGTAGCACAAACGGATCCAGGATTTAATTTTGGGGGGGGGGAGGCTTCAGCCCGAATGATTTTTTTTCATATACATATAACAATAATACTAAGACTGGTATTCAAATTTTGAATAAAAAAAAAGGCAAAATAGTTACTAATGCTCGATATTCTTAGTTACTTTATGTTAATAATTGGCATAACCAATATACTTTTGCATTTAATTTAACTCCTCTAATTTTTCATTCGGGCTCTGCCTCTTTACCTCTAATCTCTTCTACATAAAAAATTACAGTAATCTCTATAGTAATACGCTAATAAGTAACTGCAAGACTGTTGCGAGACTCTTGCTAAAGACCAAGACTGGGTTTGCAAGACCAAGACTCATCTTGGTCTTGTATTTGGGCAACACTAGTTACAATTGCACTTAATGACTTTTTCAGTAAACTGATAATAGATTTGTTAAATTTCTCAGCATTTTCATTTCGGTATTGGCGGTATCGATATTTTTGATTCGATATCATACTAATATCATTATCAGTCAATTATCTCGATATTGATAAGGATTATCAGACCTTACCTAATATCACAACAATCTTACGCATAACTGGATAATATTTCACTCTTGTAATAAAAATAATTTACACGCTATAATCAGCTGTGCATAAAGTATAAATATCATTGTTTCTTCTTGCTCTCTTCGTTTCGGTGGCCTTCCAAGCTCTGATCTTCTTCTTCCGAGCTTAAAGTATGTTTGTTCAATTATTGTTGTCCACTCATAAACAAATTCTTTGGGAAAAATCGTTCTCAGTGAGCATATAGAGACTGATTTCCCATAACGATTTGGTCCTTACTGACTAAAAAGAAAATTAAGCTATCGAAAAAAAGTACATATATTCGATTTTTATCTAATTAGAAATAGCTGTCTATGGTAAATATATGATAATAACCATCACGTCCATTGAGGTGCTGCTGTAAGACACGTAACATAATAGTACGTTATGAACCTTGTTGTTTTCATACGTAATCTATGAAGGGATGTATTTTCAAAGAGAATTCCCTTTCGGGGTCGTCTCTAAGGATTTTGAAAAAATATATAAATAATATATTATTTATATTAATTCTCGATCAATATCCGCTTGCTTTAGTACCAGTGATGCTCTTGAGAGAGTAGCGCAGGGTTCTCCTGGAGTCCAGCTTTTCCCTCTATAGTGGGAAAAGCCTGCCTCAGAGTTCCCTAGCCTCATTGTAAATTGTATGTATAGGTATGCATGTGTTTTAATTTTCTTATTTTTACGTTATTTTATTTTATTTATTGTATATATTTTTTATTATTATTTATTGTTATTTTGCTTCTATTGATTTTATATTTTTTTACATATAGTGTGAATGTTATCCTACCTTACTATAACTAATCTCCAAGTGACAGATTGTTGTAATACTCAATAAATAAATAAATAAAAAAAATATTAATACATCGATATTGAAATTTGACTATCGATAGCTTTCAGTTTTTTTATTATTCCTTTGTATTCAACATTATCCTAAAATTTAAATTATTTAATAGTTATTAAAATGAACCTATATAGAAACATTTATACAGTATTACCATATATTTTTTCATTATATATTATAATATATGATATCATAATTTTATCAACATTAATCTTTTTTTTCTACAGTCAAAACTTGGAGATGATATTTACATCTTAGAAAAAGACGACAACCCTCTCCTGAAGAAGAGGAAATCCGGTAAATTACAAGACAGTAAAGAGGTAGGCTCCAGAAGGAATACATTGATAAATATAACAATAAATATATAAAAATGTATTGATTTACATAATATAAAGATTATATTCTAGAAACTTAAACAAACAGCCTATAAGATGATATTAATTTTAAAGTATAATACTATTTCTTAATTTTCGGTATAATAATTTAAACATTAATTGAGTATTGCTTTAAATAATGTAAAGTGAAATCTGACATTGAACATTTTAACAGATTAATAAAATAATGACTTTTCTGTTTTAAAATAACGATATCCAATATATGCCAATAATCATCTTATATTGGGATGTAATGTATTATGTAATGTATAATTATGTTATATAATTAATATTTTATGATTAATACAGGTACTGTGGGCTGAAGAACAGGTCCCAAAGAACAGAGAGAAAAGAGGAATGTTCTCTTGGCTGCGAAGCCGGTACACAAGAGTTTTCAACGATGTACTCTGGAATAAGGAATGGTACATGGTACGGTAGTCATTTTCCGTCACAATATATTTATTATTATATTAATATTGTAATTTAACTCAATTTCTGCAAAATTAATCAAAAGTTATTATTAAGGATGAGGGAGCGGAGTAGCTTAGTGAGTAAGGCACTGTGATCTTCTGGTCCTGGATTCAGATCAACTGTGACAGATAATTTACTATATTATACTAGACTCTGGGAAGACCTCCTGTGATACCGTTCTGTATATACAATATCAATCATAAATATATATATATATATATATATATATATATATATATATATATATATATATATATATATATATATAATATCAATCAGTCTTGTCCCCGTTGATGTCACTTTACAGGACTTAAATGCCCAATGTTCATATGCGTATTCCTCTAAAGTACCTTTAATATGGTTTGTTTTAAATAATTGATTATCTCTCATTATTAAGAGTTGAGAAAAATGCTAAATATAGCTTTTGAAAAAAATTGATAATTGAATAAAGGAGAAATAAATAAAAATGCTTATCCAAGTATAAAATGAATCTCCGGAAATACCGGTCAGAAGGTATACGTATAATATATCGTTGGAAAGCGGAGAATTTTAGAAAAAACAATATGCACTATAGAAAGTTGTAAAGTTAATAATTTTTGAAAACTAATAATATTTAACGTAAATCACATGTTTTCAAGGAAATTAAATGAAATTTACTAACTAAATGTAAACTTTTAAAATATTTTTAAGTTTGAAAAAAAAAATTAAAATACACCTAATGAAGGCAATGACATTGTTTAAAAAACTATTTCATTGTAATTTTGTGAAAGAAAAAGTAAAATATAAAATCATTTCATGGATGTATAAAGCATATGTTTATAATCTTAAATACATTTACTGCAGTTTGATATTTCTAGATCTGATATTATATTTAAATATTTAGGTATCTATCGTCCGTTTTTTTTCAAAAAATCATCATGTAAGCTTTTAGAAAATTAAAATAGTGAATAGTTTGATGAAATTTCCTTTTGTGATATTTTAACAGTATCCACTTACAATTAGTGAAATAACTTTTGACCTTTCTATGACAGACAATACAAATCTCTTGATTCCGTTTAATAACCAATAGTCGTACAATCCTTAATCAACGGATCGTGCAATCCATAATCAACCAGTGATATAAATAGAACTTTTGTTATTTTAATGGTATTTAAATTTGTTAGTTAGAATTGTTTAGCTTTAGCTCAGTTAAAAATGCAATTAAAAAGTTTTATAATAGCCCAACATGGGCAGAAAATTCAATTCTATTCAAAGTTGAGCGGTAAGTGAATGTTGTGTGATGCGCGCACCAGATTTTTATTTATACATAAGTATAACAATCTGTCATACGGACAATAATTACAGAGAAGTATGAACACATTCTCACTATATTTCATTAATTAATCGCATTATTGAACTAATGGCATCCAACATTTAATGAGACGGATCAAAAGATTAGTATTGATTTTTTTAAAAGAATTTTATTAAGTATTAATGTGGGTTTAGACATTTCTCAAACAAAATTATCTAACTTAACTTACAGCGGCATATATGAAAAAGCCATACTATATTTAGAAACATACAACAATCGGACATATTAATCAATGCATTTCCTCCCACACATGTTAAACAATGGAATTTCAATATTTACTCGTTTATAAATAATTAGTCGTTTCGATGAAGGTACATTGGGTTTAATTACTTCCTCTGACGTCATTCGTAATAAACAGAGAGCGATTCATTTGTTTGCTGTCCGGATTTCGCAAACAGGCATTGCTTACATTGCTTTGACCTGCCCGTTGTAATTGTTACTTATTCAATATTGTATACTGTCTGTAAATTTAGTTAAGGCTTTGATATGTTTATTAAAAAAATTACTTAAGTGTCTTAGACAAAATATAGGAAGAAAACCTATTTTCAATAAATAGTCATGACTGAACCTAGCTGGATGATTTAAATTCGACTTAAATTTAGGGATAATTGAAAAAATGTTGATATTTTTAAAAATAGTTATATATCTATATAATTAGAGATCGGAGTAGCTCAATAGATAAGACATTGACTTCTCATGCTCAGAGTCTCGGATTCACGCCCGGCTCCGGCAGTAATTATTTATTTATTTATTATTTGAATCGACCCTGACAATGAAAAGACTCTTCTGGGGCACGCCCAGTCTCTATAAATTAGGTATTCTTAATTAAATAATTAATTAATGGGAGAAACCAGGAGATTGAGCGTAATCTCTGCTCAATCAGCTTCCTCAACCATTGGCCTTGAAACAGTACTTCCTAACGAATTAGTGAGCCCAAAACCAATATAGATATTTATTTGTTATATATAGATATTTGGTTGTACTAGTACAGGTGTTTTTTCTATATTAAAATTTAACTATCGAAAACAATATTTTCCCACAAAAAAAAACTTATAAAAAAAAACGCTGCAAATTATTTCACAATGGTTTATTATTTCCAAACAATTATACATCTAAAGTAACATTACCTACCAAGTTACAAAGAAAAATAAACAAAAGGTGATTCCAATTATTGGACTAAACTTCTTTTTTAATCATTAGTAATATGCTAAAAAAAAAAAAAATAGCATTACTTCAGTAACACATTTAAAATTTAAAAACCATACCAAGGATATAACATTTGGAGTAGAATATAATAAAAAACCGGAGGCCATATCTTTGCTCATAATTGTCCGATTTAAACGATTTTTTTTTTTAGAAAATTTCGTAAACTTTTAAAAAACTACAATATCGACAAAAAAGTAAAAACTTTTCGAGTTATTCGGAATTTAATTTTACCATCCCTCGTAACTTTTTTTCCAGCTTCTTTTCGTTGAAGTGTTATATAGATAATGTTATATAGATAAATTTAAGTGCTTCCAGAAAATGACTTTAGCGAAGTTTTATTAAAATCTGTTCATTCGTTTAGGAGCTACAGTCTATAGCAACGCAGGTTTTTTGGCCGCCATTTTGAAAGTTAAAGGCGGAGAGTAATGTCCATGAAGGAGGATCATCCTCGGGTGAGCTCTGATTTTAATACAAAATTTGAAAAAAAATCGGTCTACTAGTTTCGGAGAAAATGCGCGGACGGCGGACGGACAAAAAATTTTTTTGTTTTTTAGGAAATTTCGTAATATCCGCAAAAAAGTAAAAACATTCCGAGTTATTCGGAATTTAATATTACCATCCCTCGTAACTTTTTTTCCAGCTTCTTTTCGTTGAAGTATGTTATATAGATAAATTTAAAGGGCGTCGAGAAAATGACTTTAGCGAAGTTTCATTGAAATCTGTACATTCGTTTAGGAGCTACAGTCTATAGCAACGCAGGTTGTTCGGCCGCCATTTTGAAAGTTAAAGTCGGAGAGTAATGCCGATGAAGGAAGATCATCCTCGGGTGACCTCTGATTTTATATCAAAATTTGAAAAAAATCGGTCCAGTAGTTTCGGAGAAAATGCGCGGACGGCGGACGGACAAAAAATTTTTATTCGTTTTTCGAATTCTGTCGAACGTCCTGAAACGTGAGACCTCAAATTTTGAGAGGGGGTTAAGTTTTTGAAATTTTTGGTCGATCACAGTGTTTCATTATTGAAAATAATAAACCAGTACAACGAAAGCTGCCTCACTGGTTAACACATAAAAATGAGTTTATTTTGTGTTTAACACTTGTGAAGTAATTGTTAATTTTTTTTTTTATCTTAGTAACAACTTTAATATAACTATGTATATTTTTTTCTTTTCGAATTACAAACCGTGTAGATCTTTTGCGGCCTTAACAAGCCTGCTCCATCTCTGCCTGTCTTGGGATATTTCTTTACAATTATCTGCACGGAGCTCAATTGCACTTTATTGATTCTATCTATCCATCTGCTTTATGGCCTTCTAAGAAGTCTTTTGCCTTCTATTGAGGCATTTATTGTTACGTACAGGCTTCCAGATGGGTTGATACGAGCTACATGACCGCCCATCTTAACCCCCGTGCCTTCATATCATGGGATATTGATTGACCAGTTTATGTAAGCAGTTCTTTATTGGTCTTTCTTCTTCATGTGTTAGTACTCGTCCCAAATCGCTCCGGTTATAGTGGGGAGGATTTTCCTCTAAAATATTTCAACACTTTTTCCTAGGGTGCTGGTTATTGTCCAGGTCTCACAGCCATATATTAGAACTGGCTTTATCATAGCATTGCACACCCTTAGTTTGAGATTTCTTTCTTTACGGGATTTCAATATCTTTGAATGGGAGAAGAAAGGTCTGTTAGCGCTTGTTATAATTCTGCTCGTTGGTCATTAATTTAGGTTATTGTTTATATATATAAACACCTTACATCTAGGCACTGAGATCTTAAGCTCAGTACTGATATTTAGATACAAGGATTAATAATTAATTTAGTAGTATTTTTTTTGTTATTAATTGAAATTGATTTTTGCCACAAAAATGCATTGTGTTGTTTTTATTTTTGGACAGTTAACAACTAATAGTTTTTATTCATAGTGTCGTTCAACTAAAAAATTGTTAGTTATGAATAACACTGTCTGAATGTATAGAAATACTTATCATACTCATATACTACTTTATGATTAGTTTTATAGTATAGTAGATATATTAAGATTAAATTAATTATTATTGCAGCAAGACTATAGAGATGGGGCTCAGGTACCGGTACTGGATCTAAACGTGGTACCCTGCTACATGGAAGGTATCACTGGAACTGGAGTCAGGGTAACCGTTATAGATGATGGTCTGGAGTGGAGGCACGTTGATATAGCCAGTAACTACGTAAGTACATCTCATTCATTCATTATCTTGTTTCATTCATTCATTATATTGTTTCATTCATTTATCATGTTGCTCTTAGTCTGATATACTTATAGACTTACCACATAAACTTCATTCAAAGAAAGGATTTATAGCTACGAACCATTTCCAATTAACAAGAACCCACAAGTAGTATTAAAATACGTTGCTTCTTTTTAATTTTATGTTGTGAAGTAGCAAAATTTTAGGTTCATTTAGCAAAACAACTGAGGGTTTAATTTTTTTATGATTTTTTATATGTGCATAATGAGCCCCTAAATGAGGATTATCTATGACTGATGGCATCAAAGTCATAAATATGTCTGACGTGGAACCAATTAGAATATTTAGTTTTTCTGCGGTGTTAAATGGTTTTTGGGGTACTAAATTCGAATTCGAAGATAGAAGAAAAAAAAAAAAAAAAGTGTGCGGTCAAATAAATACTAAATTATAAAAATAGTACTTTTATTTTATTTTTTTGAATAATAATACAATCAGCCGCTGCTGGAGGACTATAAGTATTAGGGCTAAGAGTTCTCATTCATACAATATATACAAATAATAGAGAAATAAATATAAATATAAAAAGTAAATAAATAATACTAATGAATAAAGTAAATAAATGAAAAAAAAAGTAAACAAATGACATAAAATAGAAACTTCTAAACACAAGACACAAGTATATTAACAGCCTCCTGCAGTCCCTGATGCCACGCCCTGATGAAGACAAGCAGGGTGGGTCGAAACGTCGTTGTAATAAAATAATAATACTATTTTGTAATTTAGTATTTATTTGACCGCACCTCCCCCCCCCCTCCCCCTCGATCAACCCATTCAAATATCTTCTCTACCAATTCTTTCTCACATTCCAAAATGACGTTGTACAATGAAATAAATAATATAAATCAAATTTTGACTGAGGTGAATGGTTTGATAGTTAGAAAATAACTTTGTTCTGGGACACAGTCCCTTGAGAATAAAAAAAATAAAAGATTACAACTGGCCAAATTAAAATCAATAGAAAAAAAGAAATAATGTAAAGAAAATATAAGGTAAACAATCTATATATATAAAAAAAAAACGAAACTATATACAAAACAATTAACACTATGACAAGATGCTTAAAGCTATTTGCAATGATAGACCAGTATACAATTTTAAGAAAACAATAAATAATTAAAAAATAAAAATATATTAAATTCTTAATTAAAATAAGCTTTGTGTTTCTGTTGAGAAAACAGAAAGTTGAACCTGGCAATATAAAGTGCCTGATTAATATATATATATATATATATATATATATATATATATATATATATATATATATATATTATATATATATATATATATATATATATATATATATATAAACACATTATCATTTAAATGTTGATTAATGTATAAATACATCATCATCATTTCTTAACGTAACGATTGTCAAGAATTTAGTGGTGTGTGAACGATAATTGTTATAAACTACCAATAGATGCGTTCAGTGACATCAAGAGTAGGAAAATCTTTACCATATAAGAAAATTAATATATCTAATAAAGAATAGCACTGTTATTTGACAATGAATGGCATGAAATAAATGTAAGTTGTCGAATGGTTTGCAACTATCTGACTGTTTTTGTGGTAGGAATTGGAATAAGAGGGTTTTAAATGTGGATATGGATGGGGAATGTCGAATTTTGATAGGAAGAGAATTTCAGAAATCGACAGCGAGCAATAAAGGAGTTTTGGAATGGGGCAGATCTGTGAGAAGGTCGAGATCTTGTGGACAGGGAATGGACTGAGGATTTGAATTGGAAAAGATTGTAGGCGTAATTGTTGGTTTTGAGTTTTAAGTTTAAAAATTAACCTATAGTGCTTATAAAATTTTGTTTTTTATTTTAGCCGATTTCAGTTTTTCTTTTCATTTGAATAATGTTTGTTTTTCAAAATGAGGTTACTTTTTTATTTGTTTTAATATATTTTTACTCAAGATATTGTATATATTCTTTAATGCATTTTTTGGCCAAATGTGGTTTTTATTTTTTGATCATAATTGTTATTCTTAAGGGACCTCGTCTCAGAATAAAGTTTATTTTCTATCCTATTCTATGTTCTGTATTTTTCGCCTGTAAATCTCAATATCGCTTTTTCTAAAAAAAAAAATAGCTATTTTCAAATTGAAAGATCTTTAATTTTCTTATAAAATTGATGTGGAGTCCTTAATATGCAAGAACACGAACGGCCGTTAAAGGACCGTTACTTGCAGGCTTATTTGAATCACCATCTTTCAACCGAATGAACAATTGTATGGTCAGATTAGGGTTGTCTACAATTTAAAATTGTTTCTGGTGTTTCTCAAGGTAGTATCCTTGGTCCTATCCTTTACACAGTTTATACAGCTGATATCCCAACCCATCCTAACACTGTCATTACCACGTATGCCGATGATACATGTGTCCTGTCAGTTAATAACGATCCAACAATTGCATCCCAAACTCTTCAATCACAAATCACAAACTTTGAAGAATGGTTTCAAAACTGGAGGATCAAAATAAATTACAATAAATCCCATCAAATCACCTTTACCCTTCGTCGTAAACCTATGTCCTCCTGTCCTATAGTATCCTATAATAACACCCCATTTATCCCTGTTGAACAAATTCGATACCTTGGACTCCACTTAGACAAACGTCTAACTTGGAATCGTCATACCAGACTGAAACGACAAGAAACAGCTCGACGTTTCCGACTACTTCAGCACTTACTAAGACAAACGCTCTAAGCTCTCAGTCAATTACGAAAGACTCATATACATGACTACAATAAGACCTATTTGGACTTACGGAGTTGAGCTCTGGGGCTTCACTAAGCCATCGAATTCCTCTCGTATCCAATCCTTACAATCCAAAATCCTTCGTAAAATCCTCACAGTTCCTTACTTTGTCACAAACAAAATCATCCATAACGACCTTAATGTTCCTTATGTTTCCTTCCATAGCAAACTTCAAAACCATCCCAACCCTCTCGTTTCTAACCTTGCTTCCTTCTCGATCCCAGACAACCCTCCGAGGCGGTTGAAAAGAAGATGGCCTCGAGATCTCCTTTTGTAAATACATTTTTAGAGTGCTACCAGTGAGTATCATATAATTAATATAAAACTTCTTATTAACTTATATTATTTTGATAAGTTTATATATTTTTTGTTATAATATTGTTTTAGGATCCTTCGATCAGCTTTGACTTCAACGACAACGATACCGATCCTACCCCCCGCTATGATCCCTGGGGCAGCAATTCTCACGGAACGAAATGTGCCGGAGAAATCGCAATGGTTGCGAACAACAGGATATGTGGCGTTGGGATCGCCTACAACGCAAGCATAGGAGGTAATGCTATGTACCAATCATTTCTTAAAAATAATCTTTTTAAATTATTTTCTAAATGATCGGAAACATAATTAAGATGAGAGGCACAAAATACTTGAAATAAAATGCGACAATCACATCAATAATCAATAATAATCTGAGGAATAAAATTTTTATTTTTTTATTTTTCTTACAAATGCAGGGTTCGAAATAGATAGTTACTTTTTCCAACAATACCATGTAATAATTATAATATTTCCTTCGAAGATAAGGATAGTTGGGATGATCAGTCAAATTGAAATGGTAAAAAATAAATAATTTTATTTATTTTAACATTCGCCAGTTATTTATTTTTTACCATTTCAATTTGACTACAGTCAACCATAAATCCACAATTATTATATTTCATATTTAATCTAAAAATCATGCCTAAATTATAAATTAAAATAAATCTATTTTTGATTTTTATTGATTCGATTACAAATAATGATGAAAAAATAATAATTGCCATTTTCATAAACATTAAATTATATATTAAATTTCATATACTGTTTTAATTGTGCACGCACTATCTGCTCAATATATATATATATATTTAATTTTTTTACATGTCAAGTGAATTTCAGAAATAAAGACTCAAAATAGATAGCTAGATAGATAGAAAGTAAACTTTATTCTGGGACAAGGTCCCTTATAAATAACAGTTATGAACAAAAAAATAAAAACTACATCTGGCCAAAAATTACATTAATCAATATTAAAGAATATATACAGTATCTTCAGTGAAATTAAATTAAAACAAGTAAAAATAAAATAAAATTTTGAGAAAAAAAAATAAAAAAAATATATGATAGAGATTAGAGAAAATTTATATTTCTTATTTTAAAAATAATTGCTTAAGAATAATCATTATTGCTAATTGTAAAAATAATGATCAGGATATAATTTTTATCACTAATGATAAAAAAAAAAAAAGTCGCTCTAAATAAAATTCATCAAATGATTTTTCAAAATTCCAGATAAAAGTTCTCATCAGATTTAATTTTTTCAATTATCGATTTCAAACTCTGGAAAAAATAAAGTAACACTAATATGATCTATGGCTGTTTTTATTATTATTAACTGTTTTATGACTCATATTTGCATGAAATAAATATAAATTTTCTTTGACTTACTATTTTTTTGGTCAGAAAATAACTATCTTTTTTTGAGCATTTTTTTTTTAAATCATACTTATCTCTTATTACTTTCACTTACTTATATATGAAATATACACCAAGGGACAGCATTGCGATCATGAAAATTTTCGTTCATCATGAAAATACTGTTTCTTATTATCCCTTACTACCGGGAACAGAGATGGGCAAATGCAACTCTGAGTACAGAGTAACAGATGCATTACTGAAATACTGACCTTTTTTGAGTATCAATAAATTTAATTACTTCTTCAATTGATGTCAAATGGTTAACTGAAGTAGTGATTGAATTCCCAACGGCGATTTAATTTGAGTAAAATACTTGGTACTCAGAGCCCATCTCTGTCCGGGAATGATTCACAAACACCTTGAATTCCAACAGCCTACATATATTCTCATTCCTACCTCACGCTCTTATTTTACTTACAGAACAAATCACAATACGCTCTCTTTTTAAATTATAACATCAACTACCAACTTGTAAGCTAGTGTCAATGAATAAAACTAAAAATATTTTATTCCTAAAATCATTATTGTTACTATAATTACTGTTAATAATGAAAACAAATTTAGCTAATATAAAAAAAAAATCTGGTGCCTTGCGCGAATCACAAAACACCACAAAAATCAGTATTTCAGACAAAGAGGAAGTGAAAGTAAAAATTATAGACACTACATGTATTTATATTTCATTGTGGGTACTTTTATTTGTTTAAGTACCCTTATATATAGAAATTTTGATTTTTATATCACTGTAATCTACACAATTAAATATTAGATAATATCAACGAAACCATTTAGGAAAACCGCATATGTATATATACATAATATTTTCGGAGTCCATATTATATTAAGCTCATGTTACGTATGGAAGCGTGTTCTAATCTTTCGGGTGTGCTCTTATTCCTTTGGTTCCTCAATTACAACTATTATTCGTTACGATCTCTTATGTCTCCTTTAGTTAATTATCAAATTCTTTCATATTTTATATTTAACTGTTTTTTTATATTAGAGATCAATGTGAAATGCTTAATTGTTGTAAATAAAAAGAATTAAAGGTACTTCTTGCAACCGATATTGCAAATTGATTTAATCCCTGTTAGAGAACACCAATGAGAATAAAACTTACATAATATTAAAAACTGCTTAAATTTACACTGATATAATGACTGTAATACAAATCTTTGGGGCCGTTTTCGAGAAAAATGTGTTTTATCGATGATGTACAGTGCCACTCCCGGTTAGCAAATTTTGACGAAAAATCTGCTGTATCACCTCAGGTATATACAAACCTTAAATACGCAATTTCCTTTTCATACTTTTCGTTTTTGAGTCATTTCGTTTCCCATATATTTCCATTGAAAACTCAGATTCGAAAATTTTCATGATCGCAATACAGTCCCTTACTATATATATTTCATATATAGGTAAGTGAAAGTAATAAGAGATAAGTAATGACTTAAAAAAAATAATCAAAAAAGATTGTTATTTCCTGACAAAAAAAAATAGTAAGTCAAAGAACATTGACATTCATTTCATGCAAATATGAGTCACAAAACAACATATATAGAATATATTGAGACACATTGAAAAATACTAAACATATATTTTATTATTTTATTTTTTTTTTAGAAGGATCTTAATATATTTTTTTAAAACAAAATTGACTAGACTCCAAACCAATTAGCGGTTGATGTATTTTTATTTTTTAAGAGACTAGAGTTGGAGTTTATTAATAACAATGGAAAAATAACATTGTTGTGATTCGTAGACGAACACATCCCGGTTGGAGAGAAATATATATGAAATGGAACTTGGTAGGAGTTACTCATTTTAATAATGCCAGTCCCATACGTCTCATGTTTATTGCATTTTACTTTCTGCCTTCTCGGCATATTTTATATTAACTTCATAAAAGGATTTCAACATTACTAGATACTTACATAATTTAAATTAAATAAAAAATATTTGTGAAATAATTTTTTGAAATTATATCTATTATAGTGTAATAAATTCAAGAATATTAAAAAAATAATTTATACATACTAAAACTTCCATTGAGCGATGTAGAATTCTTATTATATTACCGATGTGCCTTGATAGTGATATTTAAGTCTGTTTTCGTTCTACAATAATATTTATTCCATATTAACTTTCCTTCTTAGTGAGTGAATACAACTTAATAATTTAGTTTGAATTGAAAATCTCAAAAATCTACGTCAACAAACCATGATTTTTAGTAACATTATTAATAGCTACAGATATTTGTATAAATGACAATAGTTGAATAAGTTTTCTATTTGAAAAAAAAAATGTACTCACTTAAGTTTTAACGTAATGTTTCAGTAATTTACTAAATTTTATATTTCGTAAAAAAAATTACTATGTAATCATAGAAACTTTCGAGGGCCAGTTTGAGAGTACGTGAAGTTGTACAGATGTAGAAAAAATCTTTAAGTAGAAGTATTCTAATCACGCTATTTGTGATACACTATCTTTCCGAAGTATCAAAGCAACCACCATTTTCTCCAGTTTTCTAAAATTTTCGGTTATTTAACTTAAAATTAACGATTTTTGAGATATATCCAATAAATGTTTTCATGTCTTAGTAAGAGAGAAATAAGTTTTAAAAAATTGTGTACAGCCTTTCACTTCATGTGTTTTCGTTGTTTTGAATATGTAAAAATCGAACCATAATGTCAGTACAAACGGAAATAAACAAATAACTACGCTAAGCTATACGCTGGGACTTCATTTATTCAAAAGTAGATATCAAGACGTAAATTCTGTGAATAACTGTTTGCTTTTCTTAACTTTTTTAAAAATACGAATTACTTTCTTGTATGGACATTTGGTATAACGTAAAAAAAAATTGTTAGCTTTGTAATATAATATAATTATGTCATATTTAATTAAACTTTGTCCTCTTGCTAATGTCCAAAAGTTTTACCCTAAAATTTTGAATTAAATTATTAGATATAATTTTATTCAGAATTTCTGAAATATAATGTATTAATAACAAAAACACTTGTATCGATTTACTTTTTGTTTCATTCGATCCGGAATAAAAAAATATACTTTATTCATAAGTCCTAAGGGAGATGTTTATTTATCTAAGATATATGAATCCAATTTTTATTTATTTATTTATCTATTTAGACATATAACAAATCTGACTCGTGAACAATAATTATAGTGATATATGAACACATTCACACCATATATACAGAAAATATAAAATTAACAAAAGTAAAATAATAACTAAATAATAATCAAAAAAACTATGTACAATAAAAAATAAAATAACCTAAAGATAAGTAAATTAAAAACATAAAAACACAGCCATACTTATATACAATATATACAATCAGGTAGGGAACCCCAAGCCAGGCTTCTCCCTCCAACTATAGAGGGAAAAGCAGGAATCCAAGAGATCCCTGGCTAAAGCCAGTGGAGATTGAACGAGGTCTATTTAATGAGGTACCAAAAACATACAATAAAAATTATGTACTAAAAAGATATATGAATAAAGTTAAATAACAGTTTACTATCTCTTCAAATTTTTTCTTTATTTTTATGACATTTAGGGATCACTTTTATTATTCCATCTTCAGACTATATCTCATCTTTCTTTCATCTAATTTTTTAAAAAATGAATTAGCTTAATTTTATTTATTTACATTTTTTTATATAAATCATGTCTTCATTATATTGTGGACTACTCTAGGGAGAGCCTAGTCAGACAGATAGAAAGATAGAAAAAATAAAAGTGATCCCGAAACGTCATAAAAATAAAGAAAAAATTGATGGGAGAGTAAACTGTTATTTAACTTTATTCATATATCTTATTAATTTATTTTCCATTAAATTTGCCACTGCGTTGTGACACATCAATCAAATGTGTTGGAGTTTATTCTATCTTCTTGAATTCTTGATATTTTCTTAACTTTTCAGCAGAAGATCTCTAGGCCACTGCCTTTTTAGTCGTCTTTGAGGTTCACCAGGTAACAGGGAGGAAGAAAGAACGATTGGATTTGGATGATTGAAAGTAAAAGAATGAAATGTTGTGTACTTGTTTTGTATGTAGGATTTTACTTTTGGTATGTTCATGTCTGTGTGTATGGTGTGATTTGAAATAAACCAAGGAGAATTGACGATTTTACGAAGTATTTTGGATTGTGTGGTCATATATCTTAAATAAATAAACATCTCCCTTAGGACTTATGAGTAAAAAATATTTTCTTTTTATTCTGGATCGAATGAAACAAAGAGTAAATCGATACCTTTAAGTGTTTTTGTTATTAATACAACATTATATTTTAAATTTTCTTATTTCTCATTTACTTATTGTATTCTCTATGTAATACAGTTGTAAATTGCATTAAAATAATAAAAAATAAAATAAAATAAAATAAAATAAAAAAATAAATTTTTTTTTAAATTCTGAATAAAATTTTAGGGTAAAACTTTTGAACATAAATACTATAAGAAAATATATAAATAATGACTCCCATTTGAGTTTGAAACCTTATTTCTAAGGTGCGTAAACTTAGTTTTTTTTTCTTAAATACGGTGTTTTGTATCACTATACTGTTGCCTGGAATAGAGAGAGATTCCTGGCAAAGAGTATAAATAAATATAAACAACTGAGAAATGAAAAAAGAAGTCTAACCATTTTAAATTTGTTTTAATATATTCTCTTTCTTTATTCTCGTACCTTTAAAAAGGGGTTATAAATATTCATCAATGATACATGAATATTCCATTTTGATGATACTGGGAAGGATTCTTGAATATTGGAACAGGATTTTTATACATTAAATAATATACTAAATATGCAAAGTTATTCGCATTATGAATATTTATACATTGAATTTATTTGTACATTATCGTGTCGCAGGGATAAAGCTGCTCGACGGTCCTGCCAGTGATCTCTTGGAGAGCGAGGCGCTCACCTTCAACCTGAAGAGAGTGGATATCTACTCCAACTCGTGGGGTCCTCCGGACGACGGGAGGACAATGGAAGGACCAGGACTCCTCACGAGGAGAGCCTTTTTTAAAGGAGTAAAGGAGGTCTGAGATATGCCACATCATTCAAATCGAATAGAGTATATATAGAGTAACTCCTTATAAAAAAGTTTTAAAAATGCAACATGTGGAGGTTTTATAGTAATAACGATCCTATGAAAAGAGATTCAGCGAAAAAGGTCTTTTGGTCCAAGAAAATGGAAAAAAATATATTGTAAAGGCTCCTTTACAAAATTAAATTTTTCTCTTATGTGACTTCCTCATGTCCAACCATAACGATTGACAAACCCAGTGCCTTAAAAAAACCATGTACCTCGGACTCTTCTAAGACGAAAGACTAACCTGGAAGATACATACTAAATTAAAAAGACAAGAGCTTACTAGACAACATAGAGAAATCTCACATCTTCTGGACTACAGATCCTTACATGACTTACAAAAGAGCGACCTATTTTTTACCCCGACCCGAGACAGCCAATAATTAGTCTAGAAGCAAGATGTTGCTCTAGATGTTATATACCTAAATTATTATAACATGAATTAGAAACTGACGACGGAGCACATTATTATTTTTAAACCTTGCATCCACAAGATCATTGGGATTGTGGTTCTGAAGATAAACTTGTATACAGGTAACTTTGATTATACAACAGATATATTCAATTGTTGCTAATTGGAAGTAATTATCGCCAAATAACTACAAATAAGTATTATTTTAAAATTCTTCATTTGTTTTAACATTTGAATAAGAAAGTAAATATTTTATTTTAGTATATAGTTAAACGAAATATACACTTACTGTAATATTTTTAAATATATATCTGTACAACGGAGTTAAAAGACACCATATCACATTTTTGTGTTTGGTCAGAGGAGCCAATGTTCCATAAATTAACAAAACAGACGAACAGTTAAAAAGGAGCAATTTAATAAAACAGAAAATTGAACTTGACTCTTTTTCCGAAAGAAATCCGCCCATACATCAAATGGAAATATTTGTTGGAAATTTTATCTAAAATCACTTCCCAGAGTTCGGGCATTCTGAATTGAGACACTATTTATAATGTGCTAATTTATCTTTACAATTGTGTATAAAAAAATTTCGGATTTTACATGTTCGTTGTTATAATCTTATCTTTATCGGCGAATAAAAGAGCTTTGGTTAAGGAAGCTGTTTTGACCCTTTTTGGTTATTATTATTATCTTTATTATTCTCACTTTTGCGGATTCAAAGCTGAAGATGGAGGACAAGTCCAACCACCTGCAGTTATAATTTTTTTTTTCGACATTTAAAAACTTTTTCGTAATTCTGGCTGTATCCAAGAGAACCGCTCGGTGAGCCTCTCTTAACACATCCTGGGGTAATTCCAAGCCGTCCGTACCTGCCACCGTTGACTCCTGGATGAGACCATTGGTTGATATTATTATTGGTGTAACCAATGCGCTCTCCAAATGGTAACAACTCCTTTAATTCGATCGCCAGTTCTTGGTACCTATGGAGCTTCTCTCCCACGGTCGTTGTTATCGTTTGCAATCGCGATATCTATTAACTTTGCCTTCTTTGCTCCTAAATCTATAATAATTATAAGGGGTTTGTTGTGACGCACTGTATGGTCCGTTATTATATATTCGTCCCAATTTTGAGAGAGATTTCTGAAGTAGTCGAAGTATTTGTGAAATGGCACCTTTTCATCCAACAGGTTAAGTTTCATAGCCAGAGCCTGGTGAAATATTTTCGCCACATTGTTGTGCCCCTGTGATAATCCGTACCAGCGAGTACTCCACATCTAGCTGTTGAAAAAAGTCGACATTTATCAGATGTTGTACTGTGTTTTAGAACATACCTGCTATACGACCTGGTGGCAATTACCTGATCTTGAATTTATTATTATTTTTAGTTTTTAATGTATATACTTATTAACCTACATACTTCCTTATTATCCCTTCCTACCTTTCTGATAGATTCTCCAAAGTAAATCATAATAATGCCTATTCATCCCTTTTTTCCCAGTCCGCTGGTGTTCCTCAAGGTAGTATCCTAGGTCCTAGGTTGAAACTGGAGGATAAAATACATTCCAATAAATCCCATCAAATCACCTTTACCCTTCGTCGTAAACCTATGTCCTGTTGTCCTAGAGTATCCTTTAATACTCCACTTATCCCTGTTAAGCAAATTCGATACCTTGGGCTCCACTTAGACAAACGTCTAACTTGGAATCCTCATACCAGACTGAAACGACAAGAAACAGCTCGACGTTTCCGACTACTCCAACACTTACTAGACAAACGCTCTAAGCTTCCAGTCAATTACAAATGACTCATATACATGACTACAATAAGACCTGTTTGGACTTACGGAGTTGAGCTCTGGGTCTCCACTAAGCCATCGAATTCCTCTCGTATCCAATCCTTACCCCAAAATCCTTAAGAAAATCCTCAATGCTCCTTACTTTATCACCAATAAGATAATCCATAATGACCTTAATGTTCATTATGTTTCCGATTTGGCCCAATCCAGATACCAATCCTTCCATAATAAACTTCAGAACCATCCGAATCCTCTCGTCTCTAAAATTGCTTCCTTTATTCCTGATAACCCTCCCAGGCGTCTGAAAAGAAGATGGCCTCAAGATCTCTTATTGTAAATACATTTTGTTTTTAGAGTGCTACCAGTGGGTGGTTTCTCAACAAGTGATTTCATGTTATTTTTTCTGTTATCAAATTTACTTAATGTATTTTATTTATTAATACAGTTGTGAATATCATTAATAAAAAAAAACAAAAACAATTGTGTATAAAAAAAATTCGGATTTTACATGTTCGTTGTTATAATTATATCTTTATCGGCGAATAAAACAGCTTTGGTTAGGGAAGCTGTTTTGACCCTTCTTGGTTATTATTTATTTTATTTTTTTTGTTTTTAATGTTTGCTTATAGGTTCTACAAAAATATTATATATCTAATTATTTTTTTATTTATTTTTTTATTTTATACAGGGACGAGATGGGAAAGGTAGCATCTTCGTGTTCGCGGCAGGGAACGGGAAAGGAAAAGGGGACAATTGCGGAGCGGACGGCTACATCAACACTATCTACACGATAGCCATCGCCAGCGCCTCCCAGGAGGGCAAGGCCGTCTACTACGGCGAGAGGTGCTCGGCCATCCTGGCCACTGCGTACTCTAGCGGCGCCAACAGGAACGAGATGGTGGTCAGCAAAACATAATAATATATATATATATATATATATATATATATATATATATATATATATATATATATATATTATACTAAAGTATAACTAATAATTAGTATTAAAGTATACTAATATACAACTAGTGAGGAGTGGAGTGGCTGAGCGGGCTAAGTAGGGATGAGATATGTAAGACCCAATATCCAGGTTGCCATCTTTATTAAAATCGGCCAATAACTATCGATACCATCAGAATATAGAACTTGAAATATTGATGGTCATTATTTCCATCGATATTATAAACATTTTTTTAAAATTTATTTTAATGAAATTTACAACTGTATTACATGAAAAATACAACAAGTAAATGTGACATTGGTAACATGACATGTACAACATGAAGAGAAACTACCCATTGGTAGAACTCAAATTCAAGTTCTATATTAGAAGGTCCCGAGGCCATCTTCTTTTCAGACGCCTCGGAGGGTTATCAGGGATCGAGGAGGAAGCAAGGTTTGAAACGAGAGGTTTCGGATGGTTCTGCAGTTTGTAATGGAAGGATAGGTATCTGGATTGGAACTAATCGGAAACATATGGAACATTAAGGTCTTTATGTATGATTTTATTTGTGACAAAGTAAGGAGCGTCGAGGATTTTACGAAGGATTTTGGATTGTAAGGATTGGATACGTGAGGAATTCGATGGTTCTAGTCGTTTCAGTCTGGCATGGGGGTTCCAAGTGAGTCGTTTGTCCAGGTATCGGAGTCCTAGGTATCGGATTTGTTCGACATGGATAAGAGGGCTATTGTTGAAGGATACTGTAGGACAAGAAGTCATAGGTTTAATAAACATTAAAATATTAAAAAAATAAAATAAACATTTTTGAAATATCAATAATACTGATTCTCTAGCACACAGGCGCATCAAAAAATGTGTTATTTTTCTTTTTAAATTAATCAATGGAAATATTGATTCTTCTGCTCTCCTTAGTAAAATTAATTTTCTAGTTTCTGTCCATCTTCGTCATCTTCAATTTTTTTTTCCAGAAACTTCCATTCAATTATGCCTTCCATTCACACAAAGATCGGATTCAGCAAAATGCTAATTTATTTTGCATCCTACATAGATTTCTTTGACAATTCGTGATCTTGGTTTGAGAAGGTTCTAACTAACAAATTTGGGCAAATTGAGTTTACTGAGTGAAGTTCCCACTCACGTTATACAACTCTACTTAGGGGTGGCCATCGATAGTCAATATTATCGAAATATCGATATTTTTCTCTACTAGGCACTATATTATATATCAAACAGGCAAGATGAGTATGTTTTTTCTTACGATTAGATTTATATATAATTTCTAACGCTTTCCAAAAACGATGGTTTTATTTATTTTTTAATGCATGTAATCAATTCTTTATTGATAAATATTACATTCTGTCACATCCAAGGACAATAATGATATCTTTTTTTTTTTAATTAACAATTCGACGGGATGATATCGATATTTCGATAATATCGACTATCTATGGCCATCCATAGAGCTAATGCGTGTGCAAATAAGCGTTGCCCGACAACCAGATGATTGTTAAACCGAAGTTTGCAAGTATAAAATAATCAGTGACTGGGAGGGAGGCTTTCAATTCTTGCATTAATCCTCCGTTCTCTCCCTTGGCTCAGAAAACTCCCGTATCGCCTAAAATCAGAGATAAGGATAGATAAAAAATAAAATAAAAATATGAAATATAGATACTTTTTGTCCTATATTCACATGATAATATAATTTACAATATACAGGCTGTCTCAATTCTTAATAGCTAAACTCTGGGATATGATTGTAGACAAAAACTCCAACAAAAAAGTGCATGTGATGCATGGGCAGATTCCGAATGAAAAAGGAATTAAGACCAATTTTGTGCTGTCACATTTTTTATTGAATAAGAATTACTCAAAAACTATTCAAGATAATAAAATTCTAAAGTACAAGATCGTAAAGTAGAAAAAAAAGATGTTTTTGAGAAAAATGTTATTGATACCAAACTCAATGATATAGGGACTTTCAGGATGTCTAATACGGCATCTGTACTGTTGCATTCACAGTATCCAAGTAACATATCTCTCTACAGCGGCCCTATTGGATCCCCTGAAAGTCCCATTTATTATGGAGTTTAGTAAATTTATTCAATATTTTCTCGAAGAAAATATTGTCTGCTTTACGATGGTGTGCTCAGACATTAATTATCTTGAAGGATCTTAAGCGATTCGCTATGATTCAATACAAAATGTGACCACACAATATTGGTGTTAACTCCTTTAAGTTTAAATGTTCAAATGAGGTACCAATACTTGAAAAAATCGTTCTGTTTTTATCTCCCATCTCTTTAACATCTTCTTGTAAGCCAATGAACTTCATTCCATAAAAGTGTTCTGCAATACATCCAAAGTTCTACAGAAACGCAAACAGTTTAAAAATGAAATAGAAACATAAGCAGTCAATATATAATCCGTAACTAGAACAATAAATTAAATATGTATGTATAAAATAATTGCTTTACCCCAAAACAAAACGAAATCATTTTTAAGGATTCCAGTAGGGCACACAACAGCAAAAATAATCGAAAAATCTGACCTCCGCTAAATCCCTGCTTATGGAGATAAATAATCGCTGTAGTCATCGAGTATTTATACTCTGAAATTAAATCCTGGATTCGCTACTGATTGTGGCTAAAGTTATTAACGGTTATTACGTTATGTTTTATTGATACAAATAACTACATTTATGGAGTAGCGGTTAATTATCACACCGCAGGTCCTATTCCAGCTACAGATGAAATACTGTGGAGCTTTAACAGATATCCTCAATAAAGAAGTGACAGATATTGTAGGGCTAGGGACAAGGAGTAGTATTTAGGGAGTGAGGTTAGGGAGGGATGTTGAGGAGGGAGGTTAGGGAGGGAGGTTCCAGAATCATCCATCAATCCTTCCCGGCTAAATTTAGTTCTCTTCCTAACCTCATTGTCTGCTGTGCGGCTAATACCTGCCAGTCAACCTCCGCGGTGGCTATATTGCCCATTTACCAACTTATATCAAGTCCAAGATAAAAACTAGGTGTAATTCAAGGAAGGTGAAGAAGATGATTGTGATAGAATAAGGAAACAGACAGATGAATATAAACCTATCTTCAATTAAAGATGTAAATATAGTTTTCATATATTTCGAAGTATTGATTACATATGAGGAAAGAATAAATATTGATCAAAGAAAAGATTTGAGTGAGATTTATTTGATAAACCAAAGCAATGTAAACCGGCTTAAGGTAGATCAGTGTAAAAATTTCAACACTCTCCAATATTGTTGATCAAAAACTCTTTACCATAGCTTAATATTGCCAAACAATATATTTTGTTAAAAGTAGAAGAAATGGTGAACTTGTGTGATGCGGGCAATAGATTTTCTTACTTTCAGTTAAATAAGAAATGGAAAGATTTTGATAAACGATATGTCGAAAGATTTTATGAATAACGAATTCGAGATATATAATGGGCCTACAATAAAAATGTCAGTACTCAGCGAACACAAAATTTGGTGCTTTACAACTTTGATTCTGTGTTTTTTTCTTCTTGAGGAACTCATTTCCAAGTTGCAAAGCCATTTATATGTAATTTGTCTCAATTTTTGACAAATTTGATAAAAATCAGTATTGGTTGATCTTGGTTTTATACGTAACCAAGTTACAAAGTATATGTGCTCGTTCGACTGCACAATTTAAAATTATTTAATTTTTTAAAGAATAAAGTTTTCACTTTGATGTATTGTTTAGGAGTTATAAGTAAAAATATATCGAAAAAATATGACTTTTTTGGCTGTATAAAGTTTTTCCTAGGTGGCCCGCGTTAGGGTTTTTATTTTTTACATGTCTGAACCCGTATATACAAATGATAAAAATAAAAAACTATTTACACATTTTTCGCAATGGATTTCCGTATCGATCTTCAAATTACTGGCCTAATATTTTTTAAATCCGCCCCCATTTTCGAAAGCGGCGGCTTTGGAAAGACAGACAAGATTATTTTTACTCAGAATAACATACACTTTCGCAATTTACAGTCAAACCCTAGCCTGCGATGATGTTGATTTTTGGGACCTGACTCCAGGGCTAACAGGCGTCAGTATTCAAAACCCTACAAAATAAAAGAAGACACAATAGAATCAGTTCAGTTGTTTCCGAGAATATCTAGGCACAGACAGACAGACCACTGGATAAAAATGTGGTTTTCGGACTTAGGGGGCTCTGAAACGTATAGATTCGTCGAAAACCGCATATCGGAAATTTGACCCGATCGTAATACTTTCCTAAACTGGTATAGGTAGAAAAGTAAAAAAAAATTAATTAGCGGAAACTATTTTACAAAGCCGAAGTTTCGACCCAGATATGCAGGTCTTCATCAGGGCTAGAACGAACAAGAAAAAAGATTATAGAAAACTGTAAGAGTAATATAATGTTACAAGATTTTGGTCGTACTAGCACTGAGTAAGACCAGCAAAGTTGAGTCGACACGTCGCACAGTGGGCTTTCCTAGTCTTTCTAGCGGGGTGAAAGTTGAAATATCGATAGCGAATATTTTTATGGCAAATGACATTACAAGTTTATTCATCGGTGTACTTAGAAAAAGAAGAATTAGCCGAAAAGAAGACAAACAATGTAAGTAAAATTGATGGCAAACATCGAAAATTGAGAACCAGTTTTAATGATAAAGTGTACTGGTTTGATTGCCAGAGTGAACAATAAATAACTTTTATACCATTCAACTTGAAATTTTCTCCCAAAAATATGGGTTCAATACATAGAAATAAGCCTTCATTAAATGTTACAACTAAATTCATAATAAGTTTCGGTTGAGTTATAAGTAATATTTTTGCATTTACGTAGACATTTTAAATAAAGATCAGGTATGCAAATTTTAAAAATGTGTAACCGGAACATCTGGGAAGATCAGAATATATATATATATATATATATATATATATATATATATATATATATATTCAGTTGGGGGCGGTGTGGCCGAAAGGGCTAAAGCGTGTGAGCAGCACCGCGAGTTGCCCGGCAACCAGATATATGAAGATTTGAGACACAACAAAAGTACGAGTTCGCGTCCCGGTGCCAGGGGGATTTTAAATTCCCCGCCCTCACCCTCCGGCACGGGAAACTCCCGTATAGCCTAAACGGCGAGGTAGGGAAGAACAAAAAAAAAAAAAATATATATATATATATATATTTTATATTTTATATTTTTATATTTTAAATTATATATATATATATATATATATATATATATATATATATTCAGTTTTTGAAAATCAAGAACTTCACAAATGTACCTTGCTCAATACTATAATATTCAATTATTAACATGTCACTTGTATACATTAGCAATTTTTTTTTTGTTCTTTGGTTGTTCAACCCGACAAATTTGCATTTGCCTAAAATATATATTTTATATCGTATAAACCTAAAATAGAGGCTGGACAAAATATATCATATAGTTATTTTATAATTTGCAATTATATAATAGAAAGAAATAGTACTTTTTGTTTTAAATTAGATAGATAGATATTTTATTTGTTTTAAGGGGGTTCCCCATACAAATAGAGCCTAGCTTGGCTACCAAACAATAATATGGTTTTACAAATTTACATACATATAATCTAAATATAAATAAAATTTACAATATTTAACGTTTAGTATGGGTTTCACAAAACATGAATAACAATAAAAATTAAAAACATAAAACGATTACTGCATAATAATAGTTATATGAACCAGTTACTATGATAGAGACAATAAAAAATAAAAATATTTATAAATATAAACAAAATATTACTCTTAAGATAAACTAAAAACAAACGCTTAATAGAACATGGCTATGATCAACAATTTTGTGTATGCGCTATGTGTGCTCCCATCATATAATAGTAAACTTTATTTAACTTATCTATACAATCGATATTCATTATGGATTCGACGTTATGGTCATAAGAAGATTCTGAGATGAAGTTTTGAAGGAATTTTTGTCTATAGTCATTGTATGCTGGGCAATGAAGGAGAATGTGATGTAGACTATTGTAGATAAATAATTTGTTTTAAATTATGAATATATAAACAGAAAATAATATGTTGTTATAGGCTACTACCAATTTGAACAACACATGTACACTACGACACACAGGGACTTCGGCTGCTGCACCACTTGCAGCTGGGATCATCGCTTTGCTGCTTCAAGCCAAGTTAGTATCGATATATTATTGCTTAAATATATTTATTTGTATTAAAATGTAATAACTTCATGATAAAAAGTATTTTTTTGCAATAATTTAAATATTTCATTACCGATCAAAATACTAATTAGGTTTAAAATTTGAATAAAACCATTTCGAAATACAAAATTAGAAGCAAATAGATGCAAACATTGGAAAATTCGACTCAACCAGGACAAATCCCTACATATCACTGTTATCCTTCGACGTGAAACTTGCCCTGTTATTTACCTTGACGATGTCGAAATTCCTCAGACATACAAAGTTCGATATCTTTAACTAACATTTGACAGAATAATAACATAGTTCATACATATTCAAGAACAAAACAAAAACTCTAAACTTAAGACTACGACTCTAATCCTCATTCCTTTTAAGACATTCGAAATTAAAACTTAACAGAAATTGAATGCGTATACTTACCTACTTTAGCCTATTTGGACCTACGCTTCACAGATAAACGGGACAGCCAAAATGACTCATATATGTAAACTACAGACTTTTCAATCTAAAACTTTCAGGACTATAACCAAGGCTCACTGGTACGTCAGAAACATTACTTTACATAATGCCAACAGTTAACGACCACATACGAACATACTACAAAAGATTTCACAATAACTTATACGGACATACCAACTCACTTATTCGAGGCATGACCACAACTAATATGCCCGATAGCACCCGAAGAAGTCTCAAAAGAAGCTGGATGAGGGATCTCCTCCAATAATTGAAATATTAAAATCTAGACATGAAGGACGCCGCTGGGCACTCCTCTTCCTCAAGCCTATTCCAAGACCTATTCCTACTTCTACATATCATCATCACACTTCATATAAATGGAATTTAGAATTTGTCTTTTTGTTCAAAAATAAGAAGGGTATGAAAAAAAAAAAAAAAAAAAAAAAAAAAAAAAAAAAAAAAAAAAAAAAAAACCTTTCTTAGCAAGTACTAGTTCAACAACAAGGACTGTGCAGGGAGATGATCAGGCCGGGATTACGCTAGTCAACTATTTCATGAAGAGTATACTCTCTTTGAGGCTATGTCTCCCATTCCCATGTCGATCCACAGCTGCTGAAAAATGACTTGACCTCAGCCAGATTCGAACCCGGAACCTTGAGCTTATTATTCCGGTGCGCAGAAAGGTGTGAAAAGATAACGTTATTTATTTCTACTAAATTTATTAGTAGCTAATAATTTCATCAAAAAGCATATAAAAAATAAACTACAACCTTTCTATATTGAATATATGATAAATATTCAATTGCTGTGCCCAATAAAACAACCCTACCTCCACTATTTCATATAAAAGGAAGAACAGAATTTTTTATTTATATTTAAAAAGTTTGAGGTGAAAGTCACCTGAACAATAGCTCCTCTGTCCATTATAAACTGTTCATTAATAATGGAAAAATTTTTAGGGGTTGGTCTATGGTTATATATATACAGGGTGTTTCAGGATTCAGTGGCCAAACTGGAAATATGAATGACCTCAAAACAAGAACAAAAATTCGAATGAAGGTGTGTCCGCAAACGTTATATTAAGTAAATAAAACTTATATATTTGTTCCGACTACTTTATTAATTAAACGTAAACATTAAAATTCATATTAAATGTTGTTCAAAGTGATTTCCTTGAGCATTAAGACAGGCTCGGCATCTTTCTTCAACAGCAGCAGTGGCAGAACGGCACTGGATATGTATTATTGTTTCACAAGATTCAATTATCCTTCTTCGTATGAAATTAAGGTCATTGACCGGACTTGCATAGGCTTTTTGTTTAATGTCAGCCCAAACAAACAAAAAAAATCAGTGGTGTCGGGTCTGGAAAGCGTGCAGGCCAAGCCACTGGTCTAATTATTGGAATAATTAACATTTAGTCATTGTAATTAACATTTAATATGTTTACAATTAATTAATAACGTAGTTATAACAAAAAGGTAGGTTGCCCGGCAACCTGACAATTGATAACTGTATAAAAATAGTCATGAGTTGGCGTCCCGGTGCCGTGGGAGTCTTTTAAATCCCACTCCCATTCCCTGGGCTGAGAAAACCCCGTATAGCCTTAAAGGCGAGGAAGGAGAGGATTCCCCCCCCTCCAAAAAAAAAAACTTCATAACAACGAAAATCTATAGATGTGTATATCTCCTAAAAAAAGCGTTTGCTGACATACCTTCATAGGAATTTTTTTTCTTGTTTAGAGGTCTTTAGTTTATTTTTGCATTTTGGCCACTTAGCCTTGAAACACCCTATATATATATATATATATATATATATATATATATATATATATATATATATATATATATATATATTTAAACTTCACTATTTAATTGGGAATAAGGTCACTTAATTATTATTTAATAAACTAATTAATGTTCATTTCTTCTGTTTATTGACGTTTCGATCCCGGTATTTTCTTTTTATTAGTCAACCATGGGATCCTCTTCAAAGCTAGAATTTAAAAAAATAGAGCTTCGATCAGGCCAGGGACACACCGACAGCTCTCAGCACCGTCCACTAGCACATATATTAAGCTACTGGATCGCTAAGCGTCTGCCCTCCCCGGTCCTGAGCCCGAAGACAAATTATTACACAATAAACAATGAAAAATCTCATCTATTTTATATAAAACAATTGGAAGATGCTTCTATGACCAATATACCAGCATCAATAAAACATATCAATGAATAATAAAAACAGCTTGTATAACATCTCCTAGTCGTACAACAACGGGCTCAGGACCGGGGAGGGTAGACGCTTAGATATGTTTTATTGATGCTGGTATATTGGTCATAGAGGCATCTTTCAATTGTTTTATATAAAATAGATGCGATTTTTCATTGTTTATTGTGTAATAATTTGTCTTCGGGCTCAGGACCGGAGAGGGTAGACGCTTAGCGATCCAGTAGCTTAATATATATGCTAGTGGACGGTGCTGAGGCTGTCGGTGTGTCCCTGGCCTGATCGAAGCTCTATTTTTTTAAATTCTAGCTTTGAAGAGGATCCCATGGTTGACTAATAAAAAGAAAATACCGGGATCGAAACGTCAATAAACAGAAGAAATGAACATTAATTAGTTTATTAAATAATAATTAAGTGACCTTATTCCCAATTAAATAGTGAAGTTTAAATTTAATACTCAAAGGTCGATTAAGGAAAAGTTGTAAATATATATATATATATATATATATATATATATATATATTATATATATATATATTATATATATATATATATATATATATATATATAAATAATATAAAATTATTTCATGTTTCTTATAAATTAAAAAAGAAATTAAAGCACATTTAATTTAATAGATCGTAAATAATATATATGTTTACATATTTGGAAGGTATATAACATATTTTTGTCTTTTTATTTTAGAATATTTTAAAGGACGTAGATGGCCCGGGATTGCGGTCATAAATAGGCTAAATAGTGGTAAAACTATTTTATTGAAAGCCAATAAAATGCAGGCTTTCAATAAAATAGTTTTACCACTATTTAGCCTATTTATGACCGCAACCCCGGGCCATCTCCTTCCTTTATAATGCAACGGTCAACTATTAAATATTCAATAAAATATTTTAAAGTTGTACTTACGCGACTAAGTATAGGACATGCCAGGATTACATATCTTCACTCAATTACCAAAGAAAACCCGAACATTTTTTTTAATTGATCAATTGTCGAAATACATTCATGAATTTTTCCGAGAGATAGTGATATTTTATTTTGTAATAGGCTGATGAAAAAAAAAAAAAATGGTGACTAGCAAATAAGTACAAAACATAATTAAATACATTACATTAGGCATTACATAATATATTAAGCTAAATAAATAAATTAAACTGCTCTACTTTCCACAGCAACAATTTAACTTGGAGGGATGTTCAGTACCTGATCACTTGGACGGCTGAAGTAGCTCCATTGTCCAATAATCCAAGTTGGAATAAAAATGCAGCAGGTGAGAACATTATTTTTATTTTATTTTTTTTATTTAAAAATTAAATTATTTATGGGTCAATATTTTTTATTTTTATACATTTTTTACCAGATATTTCCTACTTAATGGAATGTACCAAACTACAGTTAATTTTTTTTTTATAAAACAATTTTTTTTTTCTCGGCTGTCATTTTGAATTTTCGTCACGACTGAAAATGTGTTTCGAGAAAATATCTGTGAATCTGGTAAATATACAGATATCAAATCAAAATATAAACTGAAATAGTGATCAGTATTTTTCCAACATTACCTTACCAGTATTTTTACATCAATACATCATCTACAAAGAATTGGCGGCCGAGAAAAAACTGTGAGCCATAATTTTTTTTTTTTTTATACTTATTTTGAACTCTCCATTAAGTAAGAAATAACTTAAAATAATCATGAAAATAAAAAATTACAAAGAACGAATGGATTTAAAATGGATTAATTAATTAATTTATAGTAAAATTTCAAACGCAAAATCTTGATCCTCTAAAATTAGATCAACAATTAAATTTGTCAACGTTTCTTTAATTTAGGCATCCTCAGGCTGAAACAACCAAGATCAGATGAATATATGTAGACCAATACACGTAATACACAATATACTATATACCAATACTATATACTGTATATATAAAATAAAACACGTAAATACACAGCTTTCATTAATTGTCTAAAAACATACAGTGTATCACTCCAACAAACCCAATCGCATACTAAGGCAAATGGATGTAACATACTGACTGTGGAAGGTTATAATCAAACAGCTGATCAACATAAAATAAGAAAGCTAATAAGAAATGTTCTGAATATGCACAAAAGTATTAAAAATCTATAGAAATAAATTAAATTATTATAATAAAAAAAAAATAAAATAGAGAAAGCAAAATCACAAAGCAGAAGAAGCTTTTAATGAACAGCTGATCCGCAGGGAATTTAATTTATATTACTGTTCTGATGATGTCAGTATTAGTGTAGCGTTGATGAGTTTATTATTTTTACAATTTTACAGTATTATTAACTATACTAATAATTAATTTATGTTTCTTTTTTAGCTTTCTAAACAACCATTAACATTTTTATAGGTTTTTGGGTGTCCTCAGACTTTGGTTTTGGTCTTCTAAACGCTCACAATATGATCAAAAGATCTAGAACATGGCGCACAGTTCCTGAAAAACATCTCTGCATTGTGCCTGTTAACATTGCGTAAGTTGTGAGATTTTAATGTATCAATAGGATTAATTAATGAATTGATAAGAACTCAATGGATCGATCAATCACTTCATTGTCGATTAGTAGTATTATTCGAGCAGAAAGATCTATATTTACTTTTATTATACTGTCATAAACACTAACGGATCCAGGATTTAATTTTGAGGGGGCTTCAACCCGAAAGACTTTTTTTTGTAGGTATATATTACGATAGTTGCTTTGGAAAAAAAGAAAGAAACTAAGTACTTATATTAAATAGTGTTTAAGTGATTCTTTAAGTCCTATTAAATGTAATTAGAACATATATAATACTTTTAGAAATAATTTTTTTTCATAAAATATGGTTTTATTTTACCATTTTTGGGAAGAGCGGTTTTAGGAAAGTTCCCCTCCCCACCCGTCGTATATCCGCCTGTGGTCGTATGTGAGAATGTTCTATTATAGTTCTTGATGCAGACCCCTTTTTATCATCGTAATCTACAACTGTTTTATTTACGAAAATACCTGTGGTCTATTTGCCAGTACTGTGAAACATGGACACTAACCAACACCCTTGAAAAACGTGTTGTAAGATTTGAGAGGAAAATCGATAACCAGCCTCCGCAGTGCTACATCCTACACGCTAATGAAGACCTGCAAAGTGGGTCGAAACGTCGGCAAAAAAATTAAATAATACTATTTTTATAATTTAGTATTTATTTGACCGCACCTTTCCTCCCCCCTCCCCCGGATCAACTCCTCATATAATCACTTTACAATGAAATACCAATGTTACAAATGATATTCAAATCCCACTCGGTTTTTTTGATAAAAAAACGATGCTAATTATTTCACAATGGTTTATTATCTCAAAACAATTATACATCTAAAGTAACATTACCTTAAGAGTTACAAAGAAAACAAAACAAAAGGTGATTCCAATTATTGGACTAAACTTTTTTTTTGTAATCATTAGTAATATGCTAAAAAAAAAAATAGCATTAGTTCAGTAACACATTTAAAATTTAAAAACCAAACCAAGGATATAACATTTGGAGTAGAACACATAAAAAAAAACTGGAGACCATATCTTTGCTCGTCCGATTTTAATGATTTTTTTTTTTGTTTTTTAGGAAATGTCGTAAACTTTTAAAAAACTATAATAAAATATCAACAAAAAAGTTAAAACTTTTCGAGTTATTCGGAATTTAATTTTACCATTCTTGAAGTATGTTATATAGATAAATTTAAAGGGCGTCGAGAAAATGACTTTAGCGAAGTTTCATTAAAATCTGTACATTCGTTTAGTCAACGCAGGTTTTTCGGCCGCCATTTTGAAAGTTAAAGGCGGAGAGTAATGTCGATGAAGGAGGATCATCCTCGGGTGACCTCTGATTTTATATCAAAATTTGAAAAAAATCGGTCCAGTAGCTTCGGAGAAAATGCGCGGACGGCGGACGGACAAACAAAATTTTATTCATTTTTCGAATTCTACGCGTCTTGAAACGTGAAACCTCATTTTGAGAGGGGGCTATGTTTTTGAATTTTTGGATCGATCACAATATTTCATTATTGAAAATAATAAACCAAAAATATATTTATTTTTATTGAAAAAAATGAGCGATATCATTATAAATCTTATTTCTAGTGGCAACGTCACCATCTTCTCTGGTACCCAAACTAGGGTGACACTGTATAGCAAGGCCTGCAGGGGGACCCCCAACGAGATAAACTACTTGGAACACGTGGAACTTCGGCTTTCCTTGGATTATTTTCGGAGGGGCTCGCTCAGTATACATATGACATCACCTTCTGGTAAGTTAATATTTCTCAAACACAAACATTATTTTATTTTATTTATTTTTTTGTATTTTTTATGTTTCCTAGATATGTGATTTGAAAAAAAAAAATCTGGAATTGTGATCTATACTTCTTCTTCGTTCTTCGCTCTAGATGGTCAAGCCCGGAAGTAAATAGAATGGAATTAGAGGTGCTCCTCAGGTCCTCCTGACTTCCGAATAGCTTGGTGCCAAGTTCTATGGGCTGGAGCCACTTACAGACCCAAATTTTAATTTTTTTGGGGGGAGGAGGGAGAAGGGGGCTTCAGCCCGAAAGAGTTTTTTTTATATATTTATATTACGATAATTGCTTCGGAAGAAACTAACTATATATCAGAAATGGTGTTTAAGTGATTTTTTAAGTCGTATTAAATGTAATTAGACGAACAATAATACTTTTAGATAATTTTTTTTCATAAAACAGTTATTTTTTCTCATTCAATAAAAACAGTGACAACCTTAAGAAAACACAAAATTGGTCTTAATTCCTTTTCCGTTCGTAATAAGTGTTGCCCGAAATCGATATTGGTTCTGCACTTTACAAGGTCACCAAACTGCTGCAAGACCAAGACCAGGACTGGTAAAAAAAAATAGATTTTTTGAATAAAAATTAAGGCAAAATAATTACTAATATTTGACAATCTTAGTTACTATATTTAATAATTAGTATAACCAATATAATTTTGCATTTAACTCCTCTAATTTTACATTCGGGCTTAGTTAGGTTTCTCCTATCTAAAAAATTACAGTAATATCTCTATAGTAATAAGCTAATAAGTAACTGCAAGACTGTTGCGAGACTCTTGCGCAAGACCAAGACTGAGTTTGCAAGACCAAGACTCGTTTCGGTCTGGCATTTGGGCAACACTATTCGTAAACGGCCTATGCATCAAACGACCTTGTTTGTTGGAAATTTTGTCAGAAATCATCACCCAGAGTTTGGCCATTAATGAATATTTCTTTAGTTAAATTGGTCTTAATTATTTTTTATTTCAAAAAAGTAATTTTGGACAATCGTATTATTTTGTACGAAAGAAGGTTTAAAAATTTACAACACAATTTCTTGATTATAATTTTACAAAAAACAATAGTTCAGTAAAATATTTAATTATCTAGATTTCTTTAGAAAGAAAATTCTTATTTTACTTACGAATAATGGCTTGTGATTTTCAAGTATTTTTTTAATTTTTCATGTAACTTTACTTTTTTTATTAACATTATTACTCTCACTATTTTAGCAAGATGATTTGTAGCATATGTGAAAAATAGCCTATAAATTACACTTATATCAACATTTTTGAGTTGGGCATATTTCGTCGGGGTCACGAATTTTCGGAATGAAAATTTCAAACCAGGGGACAAGAGAAAAGGGAAGAACAGAACACTCAAAGTGCAATAATTTATGGGCTATGTTTTTTTTAAATTCTACTTTAGCTTGCACTGTTTTTAAGAACAGGAGAGCAAGAAAATATCTAGGAAGGAGAGGGAGGATGTTTTTGCGCCATCAAACTTGGAGGGGGGGGGAGGGGCACTCTTGGCAAGGAGGCAATATCCTACTTCTTAGCTGCTGGAAGAGGAGTGTCTTTTTCTGGATTTAAGAGATCATAAACCTGAAAATGTGGTTCTTGTTGTTCTGGACCGCATTAACGTCCCTTAGGTGCTTTCCTTCTTATAGGCTTTTCGCTAAATATTAACTTAATGCCTCAGCATAGAATGATAAAGAGTAAGGAAACAGAAGAGATATCTTCATATTTTTCTTTTTTTAGGAAGCCTACGTTTATAAATTTTTTCATAGTTAAGGCAATAATACTTCCAATTTCCTTCAAATCCCTTTAATCACATTTATTATCTCTAACGTTTCGGGACAATTTTCCCATCATCAAAGCAATCCTTATCTTCACTGAAACTATGCACATTTTAAATAAACTATTTTTACAGTACCAATCTACTTCATCTATTGTACAATTATTTACCTTGGTTGAGGTGGCACCATTTGTCAAAAATTCAAATATTTGTCACATTCATTTTATATTTTTTTGGAGTAACACTTCTTTTCTTATTCATTGTTACACACTCTGATGATGGAAAAATTGTCCCGAAACGTTAGAGATAATAAATGTGATTAATTGGATTTGAAGGAAATTGGAAGTATTATTGCCTTAACTATGAAAAAAAGAAGATATATCTTTATATCTCTACAACAACTCGTAGTGTTATTTTAGATACAGAGATAAAGGAAATGTGTGTAGATAGTACATTCGATCTACATGTGCATGCATATGTATAGCGGCTCTTAGAGAAATTAATACACCCCGTAGAAAAATAGAAATAAATACTATAATGGTTACAGTAAAAACAAATAAAACCAGAAACATTTCAACAAATCTATTTATAATTTAATTTTAAATATATCTTAAATATACAAACTCAATAAACATAAAATGTTCAACTGTGATTATTAAAAAAAATGCTGCAAATTATTTCACAATGGTTTATTATCTCCAAACAATTATACATATAAGTAACAATACCTTCCGAGTTACAAAGAAAAATAAACAAAAGGTGATTCCAATTATTGGACTAAACTTTTGTCTTAATCATTAGTAATATGCTAAAAAAAAAATAGGATTACTTCAGTAACACATATAAGCCGCCATACTCAGAATATAAAATATAATATAACATAAGAACAAGAAAAAGAACATAAGAAAATAACACATTACTAGGATGTTTATTAATTATAATAAATTATTGTTTTAATGTAATATTAATTAAACTATTTATATTACATATATATTTATTCTATAATTTCTATAAATATCTAGGTGTATCATTTTAACTGTGAGTCACTGTTTATATAAATTTATATATTAAGTTTTGAATTTTATATTGCATCCCCTCAAAAGAATATGATAAACATAATTTATATTTAGTATTTAGTACAAGAATTTTTTTTAAACCTCATGCTACTAGCTCAAGAAAATAAAATAGCTAACAGTTTGTATTTATGAGCAGTTAAGAAATCAGTTTTTAACACTTTGAGAATTATTAAAGAAAGTTCTTGAAGTAAGATGCTTGAAGGAAACCTAATTACTTTCTAGATTTTTTTTTCTTTTTTAACTCGCCAAGTTCTGAGTAGCGTTGAATAATTAATTATTACTGAGACAGCTTTTAATCCTGCCATTTAGCGCAGCCTTATCTCTTCTCTAGGGGGAGGGAGCTCTGAGAAATAAACACTCAGTGTTCTCTTGATTATTACACTGAAAGGGGGAACCATAAATCTATGTTATTATCAGACCCTGGAACATTACATTGCTTATATATTTGTGCAAGAGTTAGGAAAAAATATCAAATTTCCTCTTATTTTTTTTATTTATTTCTCTATTTAATCTACATACTTTTATTTGTAATAATTCAAATAGCACAGATTTGAATGATGGGTTGTCAAATATATTTTATTTTACTTAATCTTTATTTGTTTTGAAGGAAGAATCCCATGCAAATAGAGTATTACATTTTATATGGTATTACATTTTTTTCTCCTCTCATTTTTACGAGTCATTGCATTTTGATAATTTCCGGGGGGAGGGGGTTTGATAATTCCAGGGTTTGTTAATTATTATATTGTCATATAAAATCTAAACTGCCGATCTCAATTTTTCTAACCTCTATTTTATAGCAAAATTTAAATTAAAAAGCCTTGAAAGGTTAATAATGTAGGTTTATATTATATACAGGTAGAGGGAAATATTTAAAAGATTGACAGTAGACATCAAGATTTCCCCAAAAAAAATTATATAAATAATTGCCCGATTTCCAGCAGAAATGTAGGAAAATTAAGCCTTGTGCTCTTTTTATTTGTTAAGCGAGTCACGTGTTTTGTTGAATAGGAAGCGATAACGTAAAAAATATTTGGTTTAAGTAATTAAACATTGCTCCATAGTAAACTAAACAAAATTTAAGTTAAGTAGAGTTTGTTATTGTTAAAGCTATTTAAAGAGGATTATTGTGCGTACAAACACAGTTAAAAAAAAGGCATAAATTACTTATTTTTTTTATTTTTTATGTTTGTTTTTAGAAAAACTTCCTCGTTTAATAAGTTTTGAGTCCATATTACTTCGTAAAAATATTTTATAACCACCTTACATGAAAAATATTGGAAATATTATTTTTAATTTTTTTATTATTATTATTATTATTATTATTAAATAAAAAGTGTTTTTAGACAATTATGTTTGCAGAAAACAAGAGTACTTTTAGGTTAATGGATAGAAAATCGCATCTTTTTTTTACACAAATTAAGGTGAATCTCAAAATGTTTACTAATAAACCTCAACTTAATTAATATGGATTTAAAGCTTATTAAACTTAAAATGTAGTAGGTAAATGTAGTACAGCGCTAGGGTGATTTTTATTATTTATTTGTTTAGAAATATAACAATCTGTCCCGTGGACAATAATTATAGTGATATATGAACACATTCATACCATATACATACACAAAATATAAAATTAACAAAAGTAAAATAATAATCAAAAACTATGTACTATAAAAATTAAAATAACCTAAAGATAAGTAAATTAAAAACATAAAAACACAGTCATACCTATATACAATCAGGCAGGGAACCCCAAAACAGGCTTCTCCCCCCAACTATAAAATGAAAAACAGGACTTCAAGAGATCCCTGCGCTACTCTCTCAACCAATTCACTAGTGATGAACCCAGTGTAGTTTGAGCGAGAGCTCTTTAACCACATACATCCATGTCTTGAGTGGAGAATCTGGCCATTGTCAGAACTCCAAGATATAAACTATAAAAGATCTCTGGTCCACTGCCGCTTTAACCTTCGAGGAGGATTGTAGGGATGAGTGAAACTAGATAGGGATTGTGCTAGGGGATTCGAATGATTTATAAGATTCTGATGGAATTTGAAAATTGTTCAGGGATAAGGTCCAGGACAAATGGGATGTTAAG